AGAACTGTAAGATAATATATTACATAGTGTAGTGTTTTTTTTAAGCCACCAGGTTTATGGTTATTTGCTACAGAGCAATGGAAATCTAATGCTGGCATCATCAAATATATAAATGGTGTTTAAACCCATAAGAATAAGATGATTAAAGACAGAAATAGAAGAGGTCTTGGAACTAAGCTTTGGCAAATTTGAATATTAAGTCGGGGAAATGGGGAAGGCCCAACAGAGATGACTGAGGGAGTGGACATGAGATAGCAAGAAAGCAGAAGAAAGCAGTGTTCCAGACGCCAAAGGAAGAGTCTGTGTCACCTGCTGCTGAAGGGTCAAGTAAGATGAGGACACAATTAGGAAACAAGACAGACAGACTCGGGGGAGCATGCGTGCTCAGGCCAGCTAATACACACAGGGAAAAAGTGGACCCTGGTCCTCATTACTCAAGACACATAAATGGGAAAGACACATGAATGATACCCACCCAGAGTGATGACTTTTTCATACACAGGGACTCAAATCACTAACAAACCTGGCCCATCTAGTTCTGGAATGTTTCCAATCAGATAAGCACTCTTAACATTGGGGGAGGGAAGGTGTGCCAGTCAACAGGCAGAGCAGGAGGGAGGAACTGGAAGGCTTGCGCCTGCCTTCCTCCTACAGACCTACACTGTTGTCTTTCCTTTCACCATATAATGCAGCCTTAGTCCTCCATGGCCCTAATTTGTTAAATGCTCTATACCTAAGCCCAAGAGAGTTAACATAATATTTCAAGTCCAGGAAATAGTTTTTTCTTTTTCTCATCAAAATAAAAATACAGGACCTTCCAGAACTTGACATTTCATGTTTAAGTTAGCAATCATATCAAGGTAGACAGTAACAGCTGTTCAAGGCCAAATTCTATCCTATTTTAAATAATGGCCCCTTCAAAAATGTCCACATCCTGATTCTGAGAACCCGTGAATGTTAACTTAGATGGAAAATAAGACTTTATGGATGGGATTATATTAAAGGTTTGGGGGTGGGGAGGCTTTCCTGCGTTGTCCAGGGGGGCTCAATGTAATCACAAGAGGGAGGGAGGAGACCATATTAAAGAGTAGGAGATGTGACAACAGAAGCAAGAATCTGAAGTCATTTGAGGAAGGGGCCATGAGCCAAGAAATGCAGATGGCCTCTAAAAGCTGGAAAAGACAAAGAAACAGATTTTCCCCTAGAGCCTCCAGAAGGAACACACACCTGCCAATAGCTTAGTTTTAGACTTTTGATCTTCAGCACGGGAAGATAATAAATGTGGGTTGTTTTAAGTCACTAAATTTGTGGTAATTTCTTGCAGTACCAATAGGAAACCAACACAGTGCTCTTTGCCCCTGTCCTTCCATCCATCCCCAGGACCTAAGACAGTGATGAATGTTTGCTAAGTGACTTCCTGAAGGAGAAAGAGATTTTCCTCTACGGATTCTCCTACCTGGCCCAACCCAAACTCCTGACCAGGGGAATCTAGCCTTCCTCAGACAGAGGCAGACAGAAGCAACCCAGGAGTATCTGGGGTGGTATGTGTTTTCTTAATTGCCAAGTTGAATGGATGGATGTCAGTGTGCCCTTGGAAGATGGGACAAATGCAACCCTAATTTACAGCTGTGATTTACAGCCCTGGGGCTAGAGGGAGGGAATTGGCTAATTTTATGGCACCAACTTAGGCTCTTTTTTCCATTTCCTATAACAGTGCATTAAATATCATGACTTAGCTGAAATTATAAGCAGCATTAGTAAAAAGATGAGCAGAAATCATATTTTACAATCTAATTCCTTTATAAGAATTATTTCATGACCAACTAGAGCAATGAATGCACATACACATACTGCTACTGGACACAACTCTACTTCCTCTTTCTCCGAGACCATTGTGGCCGGTTCTTTAAACCAGGAATATGATATTTTAGGTATTAGTATCAACAAGGGGATATTTTTCCAAATTAATAAATTTATTACAACCCATAGTTTAGCTTCTTAAGAAATGAAGAGCTGAAAATCTAAAAATTGTTTAGGATTCACATATGGCTCATCATGCCAAAAAGAGTTCCCCTTTCTGTATCCCAGTTTCTCTAGCCAGGTTAAAACCCTACAACTTACAAAGCAAAAACTTCAAAAACAGCTTCTGACCTTTTAAGAACAAATATTACATAAGCAGAAAGATGATTACAATCCCAACTAAAAGCAACCATTAAGAACTCAATCTCAAATTCATATACGTCTGTATTCTATAATTTATTGGTAGTCGACATAAAGGCTAAATAAATTATTGGGTAGGTCTAAGGTAAATTCAGTCACTGCCCTCAGTCTAGACTATCTGGCTGTGTGATTAGATTGGCAATTCCCGCGGCGTTCCCAGCTTGCCTGGCTTTGCAGCCAAGATTCCCAGGGGTCCTGAGTGGCTTTGGAACCTGAATAAATCACACACGCTAGGGGTCCATCAAAACCGCCAGCAACTCAATTTATTTGTGACCTAAGACAGGATCTTATTGCTTCTCAGATTAACAGTTTAAAATGGTTTGCTTTTCTATCACAGGAGTATTAGTTTGATGTATGAGGCAGTGAGATGATTAAATCTTCGGTGCCATCCAAAGATGTAAATTAACCCACAGCACCTCCTTAGCCATCCCTGTATGAGCTAGAGATTTATTATTAACTTGTCACTCTCGCATGGTCATCAAAACAAGCAGCACCATGATTAATTACAGCTGTTTACTTAAAGGTATCTATCATTCCAACTTTTGGGGACAGGATATTACAATGCCCCCTGATTTCTTTGCATGAGGACTTTTAGAGGAGAGAATTCCTGTTCTCTCCAAATCATGTCCATGAATATATTTGAAAGAAAGATGGCATGTATGTGACTGTATATTGTTCTTTTCATTTTAAACAAAGCTGCATTTCGTGTTGGCTTTCCTTGCCTTTCACAGGCATCACATTGTCTGATTCTGCGCACCTGGACATCTTTCAAAGACTCTGAAGAGGTCTGGCACTAAATGAACATAAACTCTAAAATTCACTTTTCGATTCTGTCATCCGCAACTCAATTCAGCAAATACAATATTTATTAGGTCCCTTCTATGTAGCGAGCAGCAAGTGTGAATTTATTTATTCCTTTCTCCAGCCAATATTTACTTCATGTCTTTTATGTGCCAGTAATGGTACTAGGTGCACATTCAATGTGCAAAACAGTGAGCAGTCCTTGCCCCATGGCGTGTAGAGCCTTGTCACCTGCCTTCCCAAGGCATTCGTCTCTCCATATTATGAACAGGGGAGAATGGAGGGACAATGAGAGCCTGGAAAAAAGGGGAGAAAAGCAGAGGGTATCTCTTCTAAGATAAGTCTGCACAAAAGAGACACCAAATTGAGCCAGGATGAAAAAGACATCTGCACGGTCCATTCCCGCCTCCTGGTCGAGTGTAGGTCTGCCGCACTGAACTGCACTGAAACCATGGCATTTCACCTATTTTTTCCTCCCTGTCACAAATTATCTGGTTTGCTGAATAATCACTGAAGCACAGGAAGTTTTTAAATAAACTTTCAGGCATAGCTGCATTGCCTATGATCTGCCACTAGAAAAACATCACCCTTACCTGTTTAAATTATAGGATGATTACCTGATTTTATTTTTTAAGAAATAGGTTCCTGATTATATCCTTGACTCCCTTTTTTAAAGTTTTTCATTATGGAAATTGACAGAAATACAAAAAAGATGAGATAATAAAATAATGAGCTTCCATGTACCTATCACCTACGCTCCAGGAATTATCAACATTTTGTTATTCTTATTTTTTTTTAATGTATTTTATTGATTTTTTACAGAGAGGAAGGGAGAGGGATAGAGAGTTAGAAACATCAATGAAAGAGAAACATCGATTAGCTGCCTCCTGCACACCCCCTACTGGGGATGTGCCCGCAACCAAGGTACATGTCCTTGACCAGAATTAAACCTGGGACCCTTCAGTCCGCAGGCCGACGCTCTATCCACTGAGCCAAACTGGTTAGGGCTTGTTATTCTTCTTTTTATCTATCACATTTCTCTCTCCATATTTTTTTTAGTATTTTAAATAACTTCCCATTGTCATCCCATTTCACCTCCAAATACATCAAAAGTTATCTGAAAAATAATATTTTTTAAAAAAACATAACTATAATATCATTGTAATAATTAACAAAAAAAAACCAATAATTCCTTAACATCTTCTAATACCTAACCCATGTTCAAATATCCCTGATTGTCTAAAAAAATCATTTTGGATTGAAACAGGATCCAAATAAAGTCTACACATTGGATTTGATTGATGTGTCTTTCATTTACATTTTTTCTCCCCATGTCCTTTTGAATATCACGAAAATGATCTTCAATATTTGATTTTTATCTAGAACAAATAAATCCATCCAAACTTAACATATGTTCCTAGTGATATCTAATTATGTAACATTTTCAAGAATAGGGTTATCATAAAATTTATAATTCAAACAAAGAAACTCTTAAATTAAAAGGGGGTGCTATTAATAATTATTCTGGTGTGAACTAAACAGTCACCCTACCAGTAGAGATATTAGATGTTAAAAATGAGGATCAGGTTTCTGGTTTCTACCTGGGTGCAGAGAGCTGGAAAAGAACCAGAAAGAAAGCCACCGCCACCCATACATACATATATACATACATACATACATACATACACAGTTGAACATTCCACAAGTTAACAACTTTTCCTGGATTCATCAAAAGTTGAAGTTGAGAAAAACGTCAACTAAATTACAATCTGAGAAGAAACCATGCCTATGGGGAGACGTGGGCACTTGTTTACTTGAGGCAGTGAACACCAGTGAGCAGCATTCACCTAGAGCGGTTAACAAGTTGGTAGAGGTTGAGTATTGGCTGGTGACAGTCTAGAACCCTAAAGGCTTCAGACATAAGGCGAGTTCACAACGTTCACAGGCTTCGCTCTCTACAGATTCCAATGAGCACTCACCAAAAATGAGGGCAGAAGTCCTGAGAAGGCACCCCGCATGGCACAGGCTGAGGAGAGGGAATGAGCAGCTGCTGCAGGAAGGCCAGGGAGCACTGCCAGATTCTTCGTCTCTATCTTCCCTATAAAAGAAAAAAATCATGGGATGTGGTATACAAAAAAGAGTAATGGAGAGAACTCCACAATGCCAAGAGACAACATAATCAACGGAACCAGACTTAGATAAAGCACAGATGTTAGAGCTATCAGATAGGGAATTTAAAATAACTATTAAAAATATGTCAAAGTCTCCTATGTAAAAAGTGGACATCCCTCATTGTCAGATTAAGAATTTCAGCAGAGATATGGGAACCATAAGAAAAAAATTAAGTGAAGATGCTACAAGTGAAAAACAGTAACAGAGATCAAGATTGTCATTGGCAGTCTCACCAGCAAACTTAACAGAGCTAAGGAAAGAATCAGTGACCTTGAAAATATACCAACTGAAAGACAAAAAAAGGAGAGAGTAAAAAATAAAAACAGAACTATAAGACAAAATCAAATGACCTAACAAATGTGCAATTAGAATTCCAGAAGAAACACAAAAGACAGAGAATGGGGTAGAATAAATATGTGAAGGGATAATGATGAAGAATTCCAGAATTAATGGTATACATCAAAATAAAGATCCAAATCACCAACAAAGATAAATACCCAAGCCAAAGATAGACATATCATATTCAACTTCTGAACACACAAAACAAAGAGAAAATCTTGAAGGCAGCCAAAGAGGAGGAAGAAGGGGTTACATTCCTAGAGAAATAAATATAAACATTATAACAGCCATCTTGTTATAAACCATACAAACTAGAAGACAATAGTGTGAAAATTTTTAATCATTTATGTTTTTATTAAAAGCATACTAAAACAATATAGTCATTTATGTAACAACAAAACCCTGTAACAAAAAATACTTATTAAATATTTGATTCATTAAAGTCCGGTACAGTCAATATAGGTTGCTGTCATTGTTCTTAGTTAATGTAACAAGGCAAAAAAAATTACATAAAAGAAATAACTTAAAAGAAGAGGTGAATTTTTTTCTCAGACACCACATAACTGTCAATATACAAAATAGAATAGTATAAACAGGCAAACTTAGAAATACATGAAAGCTCAATTTTCTAGATGTCAGGATAACATTAAATCAATAGCATTTTCGTAATTCAGTAATAAGCAATTAGATAAAACTTGTTTAGCATGAAAACTATAAAGTCTCTAGGAAAAATTCTTAAAAATATAGGAAAAATTTATGAAAAATATTTCAACATATGGCTAAAGACTTTATCGACTGATTGATTGATCTTAGGGAAAGAAAGGGAGGGAGAAAGAAATTGATTGGTTGCTTCCCACACGCACCCCAACCAAAGATAGAACCCACAATCTGGGTATGTGCCCTGACTGGGAATCGAATCTACCACCTTCTAGTGTATGGGACAACACTCCAACTGACTGCACCAGGTATAACCAAAGACTTTTTTTAATATAAGATATACATTCTGATCACCCAGGAAATTCCAAGGGATTTAAAAATTATATCAGGAGCTGGAGTCAACAACCAAATATTAGAATAAAAGATGCTCATAGTATTCTTGTCACTTAGGAAAATTACAACGGAGCACTACTCCAGGAACCAGGGACAGAGACCAATATATATATATTTTTTTGCTATCATTTCACAATATCCTTCTATCAAAAACGGACAGATCCAGAAGGAGAAAATCAGTAAAGACATAATTGAATTCAACAGCACCATCAATCAAGTAGACGTAATTACCATCTATAGACTATTCTATCTAACAGCGAACTCTTCTTAGGCTCACATGGAACATCCACCAAGACAGATCACATTGTGGACCATAAAACACACTGTAATAAATGTAAAAGAACAGATACACAATCTCTGCTCTCAGACCACATAGAATTAAACTATAAGTCAATAACAGAAAGATAGCTGGAACATCCCAAAATACATGGAAGTTAACACACTTCTAAACAATATATGAGTTGAAGAAATTTTAAAATATTTTGAATTAAATGAAAATAAAACATAAAAATTTGTAGGATGCAGTGAAACTTGTGCTTTAGAGGGAACTCTATCGCTGGGAATGCATATTTTATAAAACATGAAGAGCTAAAATCATATTAATAGAACTAAAGAGAAACATATGCTTACCTTCATAAATTTAAAAAATGGAAAAATTAAGCATGTTTTTAAAAAGCCTCAAAAATAGGCCCTGGCCAGGTGACCCAGTTGACTGGAGCTTCATCCCATACACCAAAAGTTTGCGGGTTCAATTCCTGATCAGGGCACATACCTAGGTTGCAGGTTCGATCCATGGTTGGAGTGCACACAGTAGGCAACCGATAGATGTTTCTCTCTTTCTCCAAAAATTGGTGAAAGCATGTCCTCAAGTGAGGATTAATAATAATAATAATAATAATAATAATAATAAAGCCTCAAAATAGTAATTAACACCTCATTAATAAAAATAATAAAATAAATGAATGGCTGATATAATGGGGAAACACACGGGCAGCTGTTCTCAAAATATGGTCTATGTACCCAAGCCAAGACATTATTTATCTCCCCTTTTCCCTATGTTAAGAGTCACAGTGATGACGCAAAAGCAGTGATGGGCAAAAATTGCTGGTGCCTTTGCCCAAACAAAGATTGTGGCACCAAACTGGACTAGTAGTCATTGTATTTTTCATCACACACATTTGTAGTGGAGGGGGGGAGAGCCATTTCTACTTAAGAATATCATTTATGCAATAGTAAAAATGGTTACTTTGATTAAGCAGAGACGCTTGGTACATGTCTTTAATGTTCTAAGTGAAGAAATGGGAAGTACAGGGAATGCACTTCTGCATACCATCATCCGATGTGCGACTGAGTGGCAAATAAGTTGTACATTTTTCATGGAATAGCGTTTTTACTTTAAAGAACTGGCAACCAAACTCTAGTTATTCAGACATGTGAATAAAGTGAGCTGTCACTTCACAGGCAACAACCTTCAGTATTCGTTGCCATGATAAAATTCAAGCATTCAAGTGAAAATTAGAATTTTAAAAAATTTTTGTTCAACACCCTAGGCTTGACAACTTCCCAATACTTAGATTTTTCTGATGAGATCAACAGTGATGTTTAAAAATGTGATTTCTTGCCCTAACTGGTTTGGTTCAGTGGATAGAGCGTCAGCCTGCGGACTGAAGGGTCCCAAGTTCTAATCCAGTCAAGGGCATGTACCTTGGTTGCGGGCACATCCCCAGTAGGAGGTGTGCAGGAGGCAGCTGATAGATGTTTCTCTCTCATTGATGTTTCTAACTCTCTATCCCTCCCCCTTCTTCTCTGTAAAAAAAATCAATAAAATATTAAAAATAAAAACATAAAAATAATGTGATTTCTTTTTTGATTCCATATAATCAAATGTGTCAACATTTGCAAGATCTGTATAACTCAATGAACTGGTATTTTCCAAATAACAGATTCATGGTGCTGCAAAACTACGTGTGCATAAGTAGTCAACTCAAAGTGCAAGACAGAAAATGAATTTTAGTGTAACAGAGTACAAAAAATTCATTGATGTAGATTAAGATTCCTCATTGCACTAACTTTTAAGAAACTATCACGTGTCAAGTTTGGGAGTAGCATCAAAGAATACCCATAATTACCTATAAAGGTTATTGAAATACTCCTCCTTTTTCCAACTACAGATCTATGTGAGGCCAGGTTTTCTTAAGCACTTCAATCAAAACAATGTACTGCAACAGATTAAATGTAAAAACAGATCTGACAGTCTGGCTGTTTTCTCTTATAAAGACAAGATTTGTAAAAATGTAAACAATGTCATGCTTCACACTAGTTTGTTTTGAAAGTTACTTCTTTTTAAAAAAAAAAATATTTTTTATTGATTTCATAGAGAGGAAGAGGGAAAGATCGAAACATCAATGATGAGAGAGAATAATTAATTGGCTGTCTCCTGTACACCCCACACTGGGGATGAAGCCTACAACCCGGGCATGTACCCTGACCAGTAATCAAACCACAACCTCCTGGTTCATAGTTTGATGCTCAACCACTGAGCCACACTGGCCAGGCTGAAAGTGATTTCTTCATTAAAAAATTATACTGCCCTGGCCAGGTGGCTCAGTTGGTTGGAGCATCATCTCATACATCAAAAAGGTTGCTGTTAGATTCCCCATCAGTGCACATATCCAGTTTGTAGGTTCAATCCCCAGGTTGGAGCTTTTATGGGAGGCAACCAATTGAGGTTTCTCTCAAATCAATGTCTTTCTCTCTCCCTTCCTCTCTCTAAAATAAGTTTTTGAAATGTTTTAAAAAAAATGAAACAGAACTAAAAATGTCTTATTTCTTACTTTCACCTTAGAAAGTAAAAATACACTAAATGTCAGTGTTGCCCTTTTTAAAAAAAAAATCAATGGAAAGTATTTAACCATGGAAAATAAAATTTTGATTAGGTTTATAATCAACATTTTCATTTCTACTAATATGAGGGATTTACTGATTTCATATACCCACATCAAAGCACTATAACTAATTTTAAAACTATTCAATTAATGATTTCACTTGCAACTAAAGAATAAGGTTTAAATATTTTTAAAGGGCAGGTATTCTCATAAAGTAAAATAAAACCGGCAAAAAACATGTTTTTTTCAGCACTTCAAACATTTTAATCTTGCTTTTATTCTAACACCTTTGAATTAGAAAAAAAAATTTAATACAAATTTTATTTATTTTTTAATTGATTTCGGAAGGGAGAGGGAGAGATAGAAACATCAATGATGAGAGAGAATCATTGATTGGCTGCCTGCTGTACGCCCCCCTACTGGGGATCAGCCCACAACCCAGGCATGTGTCCTTGACTGGAATTGAACCTGGGACCCCTCGGTCCACAGTCCAATGCTCTATCCACTGAGCCAAACAGGGTAGGGCAACACAAATCTTTTTAAACAAAATAACTATTTTTAAAGATGGAGTCAAGTCCACACATTAATTTTAAATTTATTTCAGAAAAGGTATTTTCAACACAAATATTTAAGTAACTTTAGGATAACATGTAAAATCCCCCACTGAAATATAAAACTGATTTTCTTCTAGAAGGAACAAAGATTAGAATTAAAGAAATTAAATTTATAAGATCTCTTTCTCATCTAACTTTTTTAAGAAACACATTTATGAAGTTTACATGTTCCGTCTGCTATAAATTCTTTTCAAAAAGCATCACAATTAAAAATCTCAAGACCTACCAAAAAGAATTTTAAAGAGTAATAACTATCTTGATAAACTATACAAACCATCTCATACTTGTCCTCTACTATCTCATTCATTTTTTGGAAAGCATGTGTTTTCTCCTTTTTCTCAAAGAGAAATTCCTATAAATTATTGGTACCTGTCACCTACATCCAGTTCAGTTTGAATCTTCCTCAAGTCATATCTCACCTTTAACGTTTGAATCTAATAAATCAGATGAACAGCAACTGATTCCAAAAGCCAGGTTGAAAACCAAAATACATTCTAGCATACACCAATATAATATATATTCCAGTATAGGTTAGTGCTAAAAACCTAAGTATTCAATACTTGTTTGAGAAGCTTAAAAGAAAGTTTTAATACCAGAACGTGGATATAGGGTTTCACCTTCATTCTAATCAAATAGCTAAAATAAGTAAGAATAAACTGTGTCATTACATTGGCAGAAACCAACCAAGGCATAAAGATTACTAAGTACAAAATGGTTTTCCAGGAGAGGTTTTAACTCTCCCTTGGAAACCAATTTTCTGTCATTATATATACAACTGGAACTGCTACCATAAAGTCCAGTAGGAAATCATATTTCTTCCAGAAATCTACCTCCTGGCATCTACACCCTCCCTGACAAGAACTAAATCTATCCCCTCCCCTCCCTCTTAAGTATTCAATTTCTTTCCCAAAGTAGAGCTTCCATAAATATTACAATATTAAGGACTAAATTTTAATGAATACAAATCAGAGGAAATGAAGGAACATTAACTCTCATTCAAACCTTCCTTAAAAAAAAATCTGTTTCCAAGTTATATTTTTAACTTCTCCCATGATTCTCTATAAAAAAGACGAACACAAATATCTCTCTGCTAATGACTTTATTCATGAATACATGATGGAACTCAAAATAGCAAAGAACATGAAAAAAATTCAGATTAATATTTATCAACCAAATACATAATACATCTATTTTTCATATAACTAACAAAATGTCTAAAATGCACACGTAAGAATACAAATATTCTCCATTTTGTGAAATTTCAAAGTAATGAATATTCACTTAGTAGTTTATCAGAGAAGCCTGGTTACACTGTCAAATACATGTAATTCAAAAGAAATCAAACATAACTGATAAAATAAACATCTCATGATTAAACTTTTGATAAAGTGATACTTTCATACTGAAAAAAGAAACTATAAACACTATCTAATGTTAAATGCTGAATCATCATTATGAAAGTGTTAAATTATTTTCCATTATTTACTGTATTGATCACATCCATGTGCTCCCAATATGAGATCATAAACATTATTTTGCAATTTTAAAATATCTTTTAGTTCACGGATTATTTCCTGGAAGTTAAAATTTACTACACCATTGTCAATTGAGGCTTTCCATGATACAGGAATTGTTAGACACAGTAATTTTTCAGTTATAAACATGATCTTTGGTTTGAAGCTGTCTTGATATCCTTGCTAGTTGAGTGGTTGTGGCTAGTAAAATATTCATAAAACAGCACAGTAGCTTCATTGGGTCAATGGCGTTGTATGACACATATGAAGAAATCTGGCAAGATGAGTTCCCCAAATCTGTAACTGACATGGTCAATGTTAAAGGAAATCAGTGAGGCTCAGCAGTGATGCACCTCCTTTCATTAAAACCTCTATCAATTCATTAACAGCATTAGCCATTGAGAGGAATTTAGTTGGAAAAAAATCGGAATGAAGGCACACAGGTACAACCTAAGCAGATAAATAAGACCAACTAAACAACGATGGGTGTGTCCACCTCAAGCACATACACACATCTCATGTTTGAAGTTGAGTATCAACACTCAGACTCCACAACAAAAACCCTATGCCTGTGGATATCCTAGAGATGGGTACTAGCTGATGGTTTTCCAGAAATAATGAGCCTTTAAGTGATGCAAAAGTTGGCCTTTCCCAAAATGAAAGGTTGTAAATCAATAGCAAAGGGATGCAATGACAATGGAAACTGTAGGAAGCCATACAGTTAAATCTCGGAAAGACAAGTTCAATTTCATAACTGAAGGCTGCTGATGATTTCTTCTCTCTCTCCTTGAATAATCAAATGCAAATGCCTTTTAGCAATGGCAGCATTCAAATCCCACAAAAAATCAAGCAGTGCCCCCTGAAGGAGAACTTCCATCGGCACAAACTGTAAAACTTGCTTGGGTGCATCAGACGTAAGCAAAGCACGCAACAATTCATTCATACTCTGCAGATACTGGAAAACTGGGTTTGGAAGGCCCTGGTAACCAACACATAACAGGACTGCACAGATCTTCAGAGGCTCAGAGGATGTGGGACAAGCAAATGTGATGAACCTAAAACAGCTGTGGAGTACAAAGATCAAGCCAGCCATAAACCTTGTAAAACAGGAAAGTACTGGCAAAATCATGACATCCCCTGTATTAAGTTGCTGTAATGAATGTAGAAGGCAGTCCAAAAATAACCGCTGGTAAACTGGGTCTCCGTCATGAAGCAATGAACAGGTGTAAGTCATGAGCTCAGCCGATTCAAAGAGTTGCACTTCCAATGGTATATGCATTTTAATATCAGGGAGAATTGGAAAACCCACAAGCAGGCACTTTATTTGGTTGCTGGGTTGTACAACCTGCCCATCCTGAAGGCACTTGACAAGGCTAAACAACTCAGAAAAGATCAGTTCTTCAGAAAAAACATGGCAAGAGCAACAATTCTGCTGTTTTGGCCAGAACTTGGAATCCAAATTCAAGGCTCCTCCTAATGACTTTTCAATTGCTTCATTAAGAGTCTTTAAAATGTCACCGTCACAAAAAGGAGAACACTTCACTTTTGGCAGTTTCTTTCCCTCTAAAATATGCCATGAATGACACTCGAGATTGGAAGCTGTCCCTTCTAAAAGAGAACTTTGCCCAGGATGATATGCAACATGTTCTTCGGCCCAACTATTAAAGTATCCTTTGGCCACCTTATCTTTCCATGAAAGAGTTTCTAGCATTTTCCTTTCATTATAGGTTTTAAAATATCTGTTTCTCTGCCCAAACCATTTTGTATTTGTACTACAACCAATATTAGATTTTTTTACCAGCCAATTATTTCTGGAAAGAGGCTTTAATTGAAACTTTTGCATGAAATATTGAACAGCACAGTCCCTTAAATTATTCAGTCTTGCTTGTTCCTCCTTACCCATGCTCTCAAACAGACGGATGTTCTCAGAAATAGTCTCTAGCTGGTATTTATGAAAGAACACACAACATTCTTCATGCCTTTTAAGAAAAGACTCAGGAATCACATGATGGGGAAAGAGAGATTTCCTGGTCATTTCAGTTCCAAAGTTCAGCACCATGTTAGATAAGACAGGCTGGATCACCTCTCTCCCCTTATAGTGGAGGCATACCACATAGACTTCTGAGTTTCCTGCCTTGCTTGTAGCAGGTTTGAAAACATGGACTTGCTCAAAGGAACAGTTGAGCAGGTACATCAGGTTTATGGAACAATGTTCAAACAAAGTAAACATCTTCAGAACAAAAGAGCCACCATTTCCAAGAGTCGTCAGAGCAGTGACTGCTTCACAGTACTGCAAAGAAGAGACTAAAGCTTCTTGTTCACCTGGGTTTCCTTGGCAATCGAAACTCCCATCTGCAGTGATCAAGTGAACAGGGGCCATGTTGCTTATGAAATTCTGAAGTCCAGTCAGATATTTCAAGGTCATGATATCACCAGTGTTATCTGGACCAAAGTACCACCAACGCAAGGTATTTGCAATAAGTCGGTCATCCATAATCATCGTAAGATTGTCATTTGCTTCATGGTATGGATTCAGAGTATTGGCTACCCAACTCCATTCACAAGGGAATCGATGGGATTTTAAGTAGTGATTGAGACTAGCTATAAAAGCTCCAGGAGCTTCACAGAGGTGTAGAGAATTCAGTTTTCCATTCTGAAAAGCTTCCTGTGGAATAACTGGAAAGCTGCACAAAATTTCATGAAACTTACACCATGCTTGAGTACAAAGTTCAGCGTTCACAGATTTTCTCACATAGGAAATTATTTTTCCAGCTTTATTAGTGGAAGCAGTGTGTTCATGCCACTCATCCAGTTTCTTATCACTCAGTAGGTTTTTTACTTCATTTAGGGAGTTCTTCAAATCAAGGAACACATTAAATTCCGTGTGGTCACAGGTGAAAATCTCACTGGAATCTGGTAACTGCCACTCTTTATTAAGTGGCTTCCCATAAGAAAAGTTCTTAGCAAAGAGTTCAAAAATATCAGCAACAACATCTGGGCTGAATGTCTCAGGACTTGAACCCAGGGTTGGCTTTCTGCACTCACTCATTTTCAAATTAAATTAAAATCTAGAAAAAGAAAACACATAATTAAGTGAATCAAAATTATAAGTGAGTGAAATCTCATCCACAGCAAATCGGATCACACTCATGACAAATCGCATAAAATGGAAAGGCTAATGTCATCACACTCAATTATATAAGGAGGCACTTTGGAATAAAGAAAGAGTAAAGGCTTTGATATCCACAGACCTGGGCTCGAATTCCAGCTCTGCCACTTACAGCTTAATAAGTGGCCTTGGGCAAATTATTTTACATCTTTGAGCCTCAGTTTCTTATTTTAAAAATTGAGGTATCACTTTTTAAATATTTTTTATTGATTTTTAGAGAGAGAGGGAAAGGGACAGAAACACAGAAACATCAATGAGACAACATCATCATCAATTGGCTGCCTCCTGCAAGCCCTCTACTGCAAGCCCGCAACCTGAGCATATGCCCTGGATGGGAATCGAACCAGTGAGTTCTCTTGGTTCATGGGTTGAAGCTCAACCACTCCGGCCGGACAAGGTATCATTTTTTTAGAGGAGAATAAAATATGCTAGCATATACAAAGCAAATTCCACAGAAGATTCATCAGTAAATGGCAGCTCTTATTCCCATAGTACATAATCCCTCTAGCTCCCCTCTGAAGTCCTCCTCTACTCATGGCCGAGATACCACTCACAGAGCCCCAAACACACTTGGACTAAGATTCATCTCCAAACATGACATTTGATCATTTGATCAAGTTCAAACAACTGACTTTTAGCTTTTTTTGTTTTAGCTTCGTCCAAATCTCACTTTCTTCCAGGAGAGGATTTTGCACCTGAATCCAATACTGATCCTGATACCAGGCCTTTTTGCTACCACCCACTTATCAACCGAGCAGAATTGCCAAATATGTTCTCTGCCCAGATCTCACTCTCTTGCTGAGACGCGCACTTTGGTGGTATCAAATCACCTTTACAAGTCACCAACTAACACTCATCACTATACTGTTTACGGTATGTACACTTGACTGGTTAGCCTCCTTCTACTCAGTGTTGATACTGACCTATAGTTCACCCTAGCATGTTTCTAAACTATAAATTCCTGCCTCACCTGGTCAGACAGTTCCATGCTCACACTATAAAACATGATTTCTTCTTGCCATTAAAATTAAAACACTTCGATAGAAGAACTTTAAAGTGAAGAATATCTTTACTGAATACAAATCACAAATAGTCACCCTACATTCTGTGTTCTAACACTGCCTGAGAAACCAAAAACATCTGTCCACCTGAGAGGGAAAGGGACATAAGAGAAAAAAGCATGGCTTAATGACATAGTGCTGGAGAAGTTCTAAATTTCAGCAGATGGAGCACTGAATATTACCTGGTACAGCTGGCCCTTAAACACTGGGTTGGAACTGCACAAGTCCGTTTATATGTGGGGGTTTTGTCTATCAATACTATAAATATATTTTCTCTTATGATTTTCTTAATATTTCTTCTCTAGCTTACTTCACTGTAGAAATACAATATATAATACATAATATACAAAATAAGTGTTAACTGCTTATGTTATAGTAAGGCTTCCATTCAACAGATATTATAAGTAGTTCAGTTTTTTGGGGGGGGGAGAGGGTCAAGGGTCAACTGTACTTGCTAGCACAGTGTTAACTAAGATAATTTAGTTCATGAGTTCGGCATTTATTTAGTATATCCAATGCATTCTAAACAAATTTTCAAAAAGAACCTAAATTTGTTAAATATGAAAAAATTGACAATCATCCCACAAAAAGTCAATGCTTCATGATTAAAATGGAAAATAAAGGTGAGCTAGCGCCACAATAAATACAATAATATCCAGAAGACTAATCTATTAGCATTTACTTTTTCACTGTTCTTTCTGCAGGGTGCTTACTTATTTATCATCCCAAGTTTAGAACAGGGCTTAGTACACTAAAGCACTCAATAAGTTATGTTTAAAAAAAAAAAAAAAAAAGAATGGATTTCATTTAGCACAAAAGGCACTCCTGATTAGATTCTGAATATAAATCATAAGAATGCACTTCACCTTCACTCCAGCACATCAATGTATGACAAAAAAAAAAGCATGTGGTTTAAATAATATAAAGAACAAGTAAGTGTTCCTCTATCCCTCTCATCAAGCGCTCTCTAGAGAGCTTTGTGGCACATAATTCTGCCTGAAGGGTCAGTATTGCCATTCTTCTTTTGCAGACTCCAGCAGGAAGTCGTGTTCTCCCTGCCCAAAGCCGCAAAAGGAAGACCTGCCAAGTTCTTGGACCCAAGACAAAACCCACAAGAATTCATCAACAGTTGTTACCCCTCCAATTAACACGAAGTTTTAGAAGTGTTTCTGCCAACAACTCCTCCGGCCAGCAATAGTGAAAGTAATCGCTACTGCGGATCCAGCGCTTCACTGTGGGCCAGGGGCACCCTCGCTCTTCCTTCAGCTGGTGGAGAGAGTCCCAAGCTCCATTGAGGTGACCTGTCCCTGACCTGGAGGAACCACAGTCCCAGCCCCTGCTTCACCCGGTGGAATATCAAGAACGGCCCGGGCGTGGAACCCTGGCCTGGATTACCTTCGCTCACGCCCACCTCTGCCCTGAGTCTAGAGAGGCGGCGCTTCACGCGCTCTCCTCATTCCAGGGGGCCATCCTCCACTTCCGCTCCTTCCGGGTCTACGGCAACCCCCACCGCGGAGGAAGGAGGTGAGGCGCCGGGAGTCCGGGAAGGAGGCCCTAAAGGAGGCTCAGACCCGCCTCCAGACGCCTGGAGCGGAAACCCACCTCCAGGCCCACGCCCCCACCGAACGCCCGCCGACGGCGGCCCGAGGGCCCCCGACTCACGTACACACACTGCGCACGCGCCTCAGGGCCTGGATGACGTCACACGTCAACGTTACGCACGCCGGCGATTCTCGCAGTGCGGAGGCCCGGGTTTGCTAGTTTTTGCCTCTCCTCGGGCTACAGTGGCTGGGAAGCTCCAGCCTCTTTCCCCACAGCGTCTATGGCAACGAAAGCTGCGCGCGCAAACAGAGCGCCCTTTGGTCCCGCCCCCTCGGTAAAGAGGGCGGGGCAAACCTGTCCGGGACACGTTGGCTCCGCCCACCTGGCCCCGGACCCCGGAGGCTTTCTGCAGAAGTTAGTTTAGTACAGGTTGAGTTAATACTGGTGTCTTTTAGACAATACGAGATTAAAAGCCAAACTACTGTTATTATTTTGTTAAATTTTTTATTGCTTTTATTTTGAAATGCTTTATCCTTCAAATGAAGCTGTACCATAATATAGTCGATATTTATGCATATGTTTATAAATCAATAAGAAAAAGACAACTTCAGGAAAAATGGGCAAAGATGTGAACAGCCATCCAAAATAGGAATAGCCAATAAGAACAAATAGTCAATAAGAACATATAAAGGTATTTAAAAAGGACATACAAAATATTTAAAAAAAAAGAATTGGAAATGAAAACAATGTTTTCACCCAATTTAGCAAAGATTTTATATAATCGATAATAACCACAGTTGGTGAGAATATGAAGAAACAAGTTTAAATACTGTGGTGGGAGTAAAAATTGATATAAACCTTACAGAAGGCAAACTTTTAAATGGCCTTAAATTTTAATCCAGCAATTCTCACACCTAGCAATTTATCTTTAGTAAACAACTGGCACTCACTTTGAACAAAATGTTTATTTCATCACCTTAATATCAACAATAAAATATTGGAAACTCTAAATGTCTACTTTAAGGTAATTAATTAAATTCTAATGGTAGGTACATCCATATAATGGAATACTATGCAGTCATTAATAGCCTATATGCATCAACAGTATTGTGTAAAAATAGGAGAATATAGAACTGTGTGTATGTTGGGGTCCAACCCCAGCAGGTCCAGGGGTTCCCAAAGGTGTGGACGGAGTTGGCGAAGAAGGAATGACACAGAGACAGCGTTCAGTTGATCAGCAGCCTAGCCAGGATCTCTAGCCAGGATCTCCAGCCAAGTTCTGTCTTTTATTGTCTTGTTACATCTGTATTTATACCAGTTGATTTTAATCCTGTCAATTTCTATTCCAAAGGTTAAGGCGTTTCTTATCTCCATTCCAGGGAGTAAAGATTATGTAGCTTAAGGGTGATTAGTTAAGGGGTTTTATTCCCTCCCTAACTTCAGGGGAAAATCCCTACCTGGGGAAACAACCTTTCTCGGAGAGGTGACCTTGGTTAAAACACATAGTGCCAAGAAGGTGAGCAAACATATTAAGAACAGTATGCCATATACGCCAGGTCCCTTGAAACGTATGCTGTGCAGATGTTTCTTCCCTGCAGCGACTATGTCAAGCAGCAAGGATGGACCGGCTTCTGGCATGTGTAGAGTTTGAAACATCTTATGTAAATTTTAAATATGTAAAATATAATTTTACAAGTCTTCCAGGACATGTACCTATGAAGAGGGAAAAAATTTCTTTTCAAAAAATGGTGCTAGGTCATTTGGAAATCCATATAAAAAAACTTTATTTGAACTCTTACCTCACATTCATAAACAAAAATACAGTTCCCTTGGATTGTCAATCTATACTTTAAAAGTCAAATAATAACTCTTTTAGCAGAAAACACCTTTGTGACCTAGAAGTAGACAAAAAGTTTATAACAGGGAAGAAATAGCACTAATAATAAAAGAAAAATATATAAATTGAGCTATGTTAAAATTAAGAACATCTATTGATCATTGAGAGTGAAAGGCAACTTATAGAGTGGGAGAAGATATCCTATATAATAAAAGGGTAATATGGAAATTGACCCTAACAGCAGAACAACCGGTCGCTATGACACACACTGACCACCAGGGGCAGATGCTCAATGCAAGAGCTGCACCCTGGTGGAGAGTGCACTCCCACAGGGGGAGCGCTGCACAGCCAGAAGCTGGCTCATGGCTGGCCAGTGCAGTGGTGGTGGCAGGAGCCTCTCCTGCCTCCACAGCAGTGTTAAGGATGTCCAACTAACGGCTTGGGCCTGCTCCCTCCATTAGTCAGACATCCCTCAAGGGCTCCTGGGCTGCCAGAGGGATGTCTGATTGCCAGCTTAGGCCCAATCCCCTGGGGAGCAGGCCTAAGCCATCAGTCAGACATCTCCCGAGCAGTCCCGGACTGCGAGAGAGCATAGACTGGGCTGAGGGACCCCTCTGAGTGCACAAATTTTTGTGCACTGGGCCTCTAGTTTATAATAATGTACATATGTATGACAAAAGACTTGTATCCAGAGTACATAACTCCTACAAGTGAAAAAACTCCTACAAGAAAATAAATTTTCCCAATGGAAATACTTCAAAAAAACGAGATCCAAAAGGCTGATAAAATATGAAAAGATGTTCAACTTTATTAGTCTTTGGGGAAATGTAAATTAAACCCATAATGAGATACACAATAGACTGGCTAAGATGAAAAAGACGAAAGATATTAGTGTTGTAGAGTATGAGGAGCAACTGATTGGTAGCTGATTGGAAGAAAAAGGTATTCCAAGATCTTCCAAATTCACAGGTTTGTTGCCCCCCCCCCCTTTTTTTTTTTCAATTCTTTTGAATGAATAGAATTAGTATCTGAAACTTTAAAGAGTTGAAAGGACACAACCAAACCCTGCATTAATATATTTGCAAATTTGGATAAAAATGCACTATGTGAATGCATTTTGTATCAACTTTTACTTACATATTCTTTAAATATATTTTTATTGATTTCAGGGAGGAAGGGAGAGAGAGATAGAAACATCAATGATGAGAATCATTGATTGGCTGCCTCCTGCACGCCCCCTTACTGGGGATCGAGCCCACAACCTGGGCATGTGCCCTTGACCGGAATCGAACCTGAGGCCCTTCAGTCTGCAGGCTGACGCTCCATCCACTGAGCCAAACTAGCTAGGGCTCACTTACATAGTATCTGAGTGGAAGCTAGCTACAATTATTCTTTCCAGTTCCTGCATGTTCTTTATACTCAACTAGCATGACAATGAGAACGTAAGCAGCACACAGAAATGAAAACAACCTGCTCCCTCCTCAGCCTCTGCTTTGATCATATTTCTCTGTCAAGCAAACAGAACCTGAACTGTTTCTGTGGTCACTTATCACCAATCTACTTGCTGAGTCCCTAATTTACCTCTTCAGACAGATTCTGTGAGATGACAATGTGCAAATTGTAGTTCCAAAAACCCAGAGGGAGTTTTCTTGGGTGACGGAAATGTTAACTATCTTGACAGGGGATTTAGGTTAGAGGTATGTGTGTATGTCAAAACGCATTAAAAGATATAATTAACATTTGAGCATTTCATTCAAAATAAATTTTACCTTCAAAAAAAGAACCTTAAACAAATATTGAACTCTGCGCACAATGAAGTGTAGAAGACAAGTATATTGATGTCTGCACCTTACTTTGAAATGCATCATACATAAAATGCATTGATGGATGGCTTAGAGGGATGGATCAATGATAAAGTAACCACAAAATGTTCATAACTGTAGCATCTAGGTGGTGAACACATGGCTGTTCGCTATATAATTCAGCTTTTCTCTGTTTGAAATTTTTCACAGTAAAATATTGGGGGGAAATCGAGATTCATATCACAAAGGCAAGAATGGAATCTCTCCCGTTAAAGATTAAATACATACACACATACATGTGTACCTAGTGTTTCCCACTAACAAGGAAACAGCCTCTGAGATGGCTTTAGGTGAACGGCATTGAACTTGCTGAAGGCCACGTGAAAGTTCTTGTGGCTCACGCGACCCACTTACCTGAGTTAGTGATCACCATCAGGCTTGGTTTTGACCGTTATACAATCTCAAAGTTTTCCTATTCTTTGGCACATCGTGTTCCACTTACTCTCTTCTTGCCACGTAGAATGCATCATTGTTCAAATGCAGGAAACTAAGAAAACACCAATGTTGAAATTTCAGAAGTCAACCAAGGTTATCAACCGGATAATAATTCTTTCAGTTTCCCTCCTGATCATCTTCACCAGATCTTTAAAATGAGAATTTTGATTAAAATTCTCACACAGCACTTTAAGCTGTTAACAAACAATGTTTATAAAACACACACACACACACACACACACACACACACACACACACACACCAATGTTATAGCCCGGCCAGCGTAGCTCAGTGGTTGAGCGTTGACCAATGAACCAGGGGGTCAGAGTTCGATTCCTGGTCAGGGCATATGCCCAGGTTTCGGACTTCTTCCCCAGTGTGGAGGGTGCAGAAGGCAGCCGATCAATGATTCTCTCTCATCATTGATGTTTCTATCCCTCTCTCACTTTCCCTTCCTTTGTTTCTAAAAATCAATTTTAAAAAACATATTAAAAAAAAGAAGATATAGTAAAAATGATAACTTGTCTATTCAACTATTGGGTAGAGCATCTACATTGTGGCATTTGTGGGAAAATGCTTGAAAACAGCAGCCTGAAATCTCTTTTCATACTGTTTACAGACTAAGCAAAAATTATTAATACAAATAATTTAATTTTTAGAATAATTGCAAGAATTCTAAACATCAGGTCATGAAGGCAGTTCTCATCTATTTTTGGTCCTGTAACACACAGTTACTAGTAAACTTCATTCTGCATCTTAAGATACATTCAGGACTAAAATTCAATATGAAATTTCTTTCTTAAAATTTATTTTCTAGCAATTCATGTTTTTTCTTGCATAGTTAATCTAAA